TTTCCAGATGATGAAGATGATAATAAAACTGCATTATCACATGATGCTCAATTATTTAATAGTCGAGAATTGTATCTTGAAGAATCTCATCAATGGATTCAAACTAAACAAAGACCTCAATATGATGATAATGATCCTGACGTTGTAATGCAAGGTGAAGGGGATAAAGATGCAATGGATATTGATGATGATTTTGAAACTGAGTTTGATAAAAGAATGACAATGAGTCTTGATGATGAAAAATCTAAAAAATATCAGTTCCCATTCGATGATATTTCTGTTGGCTTTAATGACACGAAAAAATATCGTGTACTTATTGTTGATGATAACACGGATATGAGGTATTTTATTATCCATAAAAAAAAAAAAGTTATAAACTGTTATAAATAATTTGTATGTTAATTTTTTTACTTATTGATTATTATTATTTTAAATTTAATAGAAATTATTTGTCCGGTTTGTTGAAAAAAGAATTTGACATTTACTGTGCTTGTGACGGACGTGATGCATTGAAAACGTTAAAGACGAATCCAACTTTACCAGATTTGGTGTTGAGTGGTGATTATATAAATATATTACAAAATTTTAAAAACTCGTAAAATTATATGTTTGTTGTTGCTAATGAATTTTATTAATTTTTCAGATATCATGATGCCAAACATGAATGGTTACCAATTGTTAAGTGCTATAAGAAATGATCCAGTAATGCAATTGATTCCAGTAATCTTGTTATCAGCAAAAGCTGGTGAAGAAGCTAGCATTCAAGGTATGTATATAAATAAATCAAAATTTTATTAAAATTTTATTCTTAAGATACTTGTTCTCAATATTTTTTTTTGTACTATTTTGTAGGGTTGGAAAAAGGTGCTGATGATTACTTAACGAAACCATTTAGCGCTAGGGATCTAATTGCACGTGTCCGTGTGAATATCAGACTTTCATACCTTCGCCAACAACTCTTATTACAACAACGTCGACAATCAGAAACGAAACAATTACTATTTTCAATTAGTAACAAGATCCGTTCAGGTTTAAGTTTAGATAAAACCTTGACAACAGCTGTTGATGAAATTCTTCGAATTTTACCATCTGACAGAGTATTCATAATTTCAACCGAGGACCAATCAAATCATGAAGTCGTGGCATTTGCTGCGTCAGATTCCGATGAACAAAATATGAAAGGTTTGAAATTTCATTACACATATGGAGGTGAAGTTCAAACAGAAGGCGAAGCAGCTGCCTCGGCATGTAGTGAAAGCATTAAGCCACTTTTAGATCACATTATTAAGGATTCGTTGGATTATAGTCGAGAAACAGATGTCAATGTCCTTTCGAATTTTAGTTCATTAGTAGCAAATAAACCTGTTTCCTTAATTTCAATTCCAATTAGAGAAAATTCAATTACTTGGGGATGGTTGATAGCAAATCGACCTCCCAATACTCCATGGTTGAATTCAGAAAAAACATTTTTACAACAAATAACTAATCAAATTAGTTTGGCAATCACTCATGCAAAATTAATGGAAGAAAAATTGAAACGGGAAGCTCAAATCGAAGCCGCTAAAGCTGCTAATGAAGCTAAAAGTCGAATTTTGGCTAATACTTCTCATGGTAAATAACATTTTAAATTATAAAATTTTTTATTACATTATTCTTTTTTTAAAAAAATTATTCTAATATATTATATTTGTTTTAAAAAGAGTTGCGAACACCACTCGGGGCGATTATTGGAGTCCTGTCGGCATTCGAAGATACTCCATTGACTGAAGATCAAAAAGATATGGTTCATATTATGACCAGAGCTTCAGATGTTGTACTATCAGTCGTGAACGATATTTTAGATGCCGCGAAACTCGAGGCACAAAAAATAACGTTAGTTAATAGGACATTCGACTTATATGATTTTATGGAAAAAACTATTGAATTGTTTGGTGAAAGTGCGGGTAATAAACAAATTGAATTGATCTTGAGTTGTGATCCTGATTCGTTACCTAAATATGTAAAGTCGGACCCTGAAAGGTAATTAAATTTAAAAAACATTTATTATCATTGTGATTTATAAATTTATGAAGTGAAAGATTTTAAATATGTATATATATATATTTTATAGATTGCAGCAAGTGTTGATAAACTTGTTATCTAATTCGTAAGTTTTTCTACTCTATCGTTTATTTTTATTTTATTTTATTTATTTTTTTTTAACTTTATATTAATAATAACAATCTTTATTATTTTGTAGGTTAAAGTTCACAGACACTGGTGAAATTGTTCTTCGAGTTACATTGGATGAACTTGAGGGTGAAAGTAGTACAAATGACGAAAATGTCAAAAAAGGAAAATTATGTGTGGAAGTAATTGATTCTGGAATTGGGTATTTATTTATTTATAATTATAATTTTGTATAATTATATTTTAATAGTTTAACATTTTTTTATTAATTTATATAATTTATTTATTAATCTTAATTAAGAATTGATCCTGCGTTTATTCAAAGTATTTGGGAAAGTTTCTCACAAGGTGATCAATCCATGACAAGACGACAAGATGGTACAGGTCTTGGTCTTTCAATTTGCAAACATTTAGTAACAATAAATGGAGGTAAAATTGGTGTGGAAAGTGAAATAAAGAAAGGAAGTCGATTTTGGTTCACTTGGAATATTGAACGATTATCATTATCCTCAGTTCCTATAACGACAATGTCTAAAACTCCAGATACAATAAATTTATCTTCACGTTCTAAACGAGTTTTAATTGTGGATTATTCTGATTTGTCCCGCCAGACATTGGTTAAATTGGTGGAAGGTAGTGTGGAAAGAATAAATGCATTTGGTTCATGTGAAGAATGTATAACTACCGTAAAAGCATGGCAAGAACAGTATCATGATGAAGCGTTATTTGATATAGTATTTTTCAATGTTCGAGAAAATATTTCCGAGGAAATTAAAAATTCTGCCAAGGAACTACGTAGAATTTTTGATGATAATTTATGTATTGTCCTAATTGTATTCTGGTCAGCAAATGGTAGAGCATTAGGACAAAATTTAGTTCAAGAAATTGGTGGTAAAACATGCATGATTTGTAAACCAGTAATGCAAAGACGCTTGGTTCATTGCCTTTACTCAAGAGATTTTGTATCCGAACCTTATGCACCAACAATACAAAATGAATACTATAGTTCAGTTAAACCTTTAGCTGATTTGAGAATTGAAAACTTTTACCGTAGTAACAGACCTCCATTTAGTGATGAAACTGTAAAAGAGTCATCTAATTTGGAGAAAAGTCCAATGGTTGTATCTGAAGAAACTGCGAAATCTAGCATTGAAAGAATAAGAAAAGAAGATTTGCCTGCAGTGAATATACCAGGTACCGAATCATTGGCAAAGGGTAAAGGTAAAAATGTCGAATCAGCACAATCGGGTACGAAAAGAATGGCGGATGATGAAACAGAAAATACCACAACTCCGACTGATGATCGTGCATCAAAATTCAGATTTAGACCTGTTTCAAAATCGAAATGTATTTTATGTGTGGTAAGTTTTCGAATTCTAAGTAATAGATTTGATAGATTTGATATCATTTGACATTTATTTATTTTATTATTTTGAATATCTTTTTTAATCTTTTCTTTTTCTTTTTTTGGATCGATTACAGGAAGATAATCCCATAAATCTAAAAGTTATTCAACATCAACTTTCAAAACTTGGATATCCATCATTATGTGCTACAAATGGACAAGAAGCTGTAAATTTGATAGAATCAGAGTATTCAAACTATTCCCAAGACGCTTCATCTTCTGATGAATCTAACCCTGGAAGAATTGCTTTAATTTTAATGGATTGTGCTATGGTGAGTTACCATTTAATTTATAAAAAACTTGGCATGATAAATTTATCAAAATTAATTACTTTACTAATAATTGCCATTTTTGTTTTAATAAATAGCCAATAATGTCAGGATTTGATGCATCAAGAGCAATAAGATCCATGAATACACCAATATCAAATGTCCCAATTATCGCATTAACTGCTTCAGCCGTTCAAGGTACAAAAGAACAATGTTTGGAATCAGGAATGAACGACTATCTTACTAAACCATTGAAAATTGCCAAGCTTAAAGAAATGCTAGATCAATGGCTTGGTAACAACGAATCAAATGAATGAAGTTTTATTCATAAATAAAAGATGTTGTGAATAGGTTATGGGAATTTGGCGCGTATGGGATTTTGTAAATTTGTATTTATTTATTTATTTATTTTATTCTTGTTTTTTTTTAAATATCTTTTTTCTTTTATTTAAACTTTCCGAGCTATGAGCTTTTATTATTATTATCATTACTATTTTCTTACCCATTCTGGGTTCAAACGTTCACTTTTTAAAAAGCTTGTTTTTACTATGATTAGATTTCGTTTTAAGAACGCCAAACGACAGAAAACGACTAAATGTCGTTCAATTTTATTCGATAATTTTTTTATGCTACACACAAAACGTTTTTATGCATATGGTTTAGTATATTTCTCTATGGTTACATTTGTTTAGGATTTAGGATTTCAAAAAATAATAATTTTTCTATGCTATATATACGTGTAAATTTAAGATTTTTTTAAGATTTTTTTTTTTAAAAAAAAAATATATGTATTTATATTAGGTAAAGTCAAATAAATGTATTACAAATTCATTTTTACTTAATTACCGAATTACTATCGGAAAGTATTCTTTCAATAAATTATTATTACAGCCAAAAAAAAAAAAACAATAGCGATAGTGCACTGACTAAAATACTCTCTTAATAAAGGGTTATTAATCAGCTAAGCCAAACATGTTAATTGCATTAATATCTTCAAAACATGTTTTTTCTAAATGACTAAAATTTAGTTTTTTAGTGTCAATTTGATATTCTCAATCTTTCACTAGCAGTAACTTGCACACGTGAAATCCGAGACATTACTTCAAAGAAATATTGTTAGGATATTACATAAAATATAACATCATATTACACACTACATTTTGTCTGAATCGCCTCTAGCATGTAAATCTGTGCTCATATTTGCCAATTTGACTCGTTACGATAATATCACATGCTATAGACAGAAATGTGACGATTTTTCAAAGAAATGTGGTGATCTTCCAAGGAAACCTTTTTTCTTACTAAGCAAATCACTTTTGGACTTCTAATGAAAGTTGTAGAGCTCATCAAGATGCATCTAATGGTGGTAAAAACGTTAAAATTTGCCTGGTGGTTCTTGAGAAATATTTAAAAAACGTTTCGTTAACATAAAATTTAAAATAAATCGATTTTTTTTTTAAAGAAATCTTATATGTTGCGAAGAACCACCAGATCAATTTAATGTTATTATTATTAGATGCATCTTGATAAGCTCTACAACTTTCATTAGAAGCCTAAAAATGATTTACTTAGTAAGAAAAAAAATTTTCTTGGATGAATATCACATTTGTGTCTTAAAAAAGATTTATATATAGAACTGCATTATGTTTTACTATGAACATTCTTTAGTTCACTGGAGGATCATCAATTAAGTAAATAAATATTTTTTTATTTTTTTATTTTTATTTTTTTTTTAAATCTTCAAAGGTGAAGCTATGCCTTTATCTTTATTAAAATTTATTTAAATTTTTTTTATATAAAAATAAAAAAAATTATATATCCAAAGAATATTAAGATTAGAAATTCAAACAGAGTTTACAAGGTATCTGTGATCTAAATCTATCAGAATAGTTATGATTCACAAAACAATCTAAATTAACTAGGTAAACCATAGCTTATTTAGATTTGTCATATTTATACAAATCTAGATATATATTTAAGGGTAGTTTTATCATAAATCCAGGTTTTATATTAATAATCTAGACTTCAAAGAGGTCTATATTAAGACAAATAATCTAATCATAGATCCTATAATCAACCAATTATAGTGACCCAGTGATTGATAAATAAAATTGATTATACAAATAATTGTATCAAAATTTTTAATGCAGTTTTGATCAAAGATATAATTCAAACAAATTCAATTAAATTTTTTTATTTGAATTCTACAGAACTATAGAATTTGAATAAAAAAATTTTTATCGAATTTGGTTAAGTGGGTGTTGAGAAACCTTAGATCAAAGCTTAAAAATTTTTAAAACATTAATTAGTATAGAAATTATATTAAAATTTTTAACATGATTTTGATCAAAGGTATTTCAATATAAGACTCTAGCTAACCTCTTTTCTCTAAAATATTATATAATATTTTTTTGATAATTCGGCTACCTGCCGCTATTTATTTATAACCAAAACTATTTGACAAATTACAAGAATTTCTCTCCTAGCTATAAGATCTCTGTACAAATGGCTCACCAAGTTTATGCCCAATGTAGCCTGCCTCAGCAGTTATTTGCTTTAATCTGAATTCAAAACTACCTAAGGATTTTTTTTCCTTCAATCCTTGGTTAGTGACTGCAAGCCATAAGCATCAATATTGTCTTTTTTTATTAGTAGAGAAACACAAACACTAAATTAAAAGAAGTAAAAATGAGGAATAAACTCAACAACGAACCCAAGTTTTGAAAGTTGATGTTGAATAACTTTTAGATTTATGGGATTATCTTCCTGTAATCGATCCAAA